CGGCAGGAGCGACGGGGGGTCGGCGAGGGTCCCTGAAGGAGCAACTGGGGGCTGGTGGGACACCTGCAGGCGCGGGGGGGGGTGCAGCAGGCTTGGCGGGGACCCCTGCAGGAGCGACTGGGGGTCGGCGGGGCGTCCCCGAAGGAGCAACTGGGGGCCAGCGGGGACACCTGAAGGCGCAGCGTGCCCATCGCGAGAACGACCGCAGGGCAGCACCGGGTCTCTTGCCCTGGGCTCTGAACTTCTTGGGGCCGGGGTACTGACCTAGATCTTGCTGGACCCGGCTGGCCCTGGGCGCTGCCCTTACTTGGCCCTGCTGGACCCCGTCCCAACTGGCTTTCTGGGCAACTGTGATCCTGAACCCCAGGCATGGCTTGGACCCCGCTGGTCCAGGGGGTGCATCCTGGGCTCTGCGGGTCTCTGGGAACTTTGGGAGGCACTCTCCTGGTGGACAGTGTCCAATCGGGCTTTGGGCGCTGGCTTGGGGTCGTGGACTCCTGCAGGGGTCCGGTGAGGCCGTGGGTGAAATGTCCGCGGGCCGCCCATCAGCTCTCCACACAGGCGCTTGGGTTCTTTGCTTTCAGAGTAACACCCCCACCCTCCTGTTATTCTTGCTGTGTTTTCAGGGGTGCGTCTGGCAGTGAGGTTGCTTCTCAGTTGGGTCCACTGACCTTTGATGCCGACCTTGCTGCAGGCAGCGCCCCGGAACTCTGGCGTGGAAAATGGGTTCTACACCGCGAATCGTCACCATCAAGAGGAGCGGGGCAGACGGGCCCCATTTCCCCTTGAGCCTCAGCTCCTGCTTGTTCGGAAGGTGAGCCCCTCCCTGCGGACACGGCTCGACAGGCTCCCGCTGGCCGCTGGCTGCGAGCGGAGGCCGTGCCCAGAGGTCTGCTGCGCAGGAAGTGTGCTGTCAACTGACTGTTGTTCTGAAACCGGATTTTGAAATAGCTTATGTGGCTCCCTGTTTTGTTCCGGTCAAAGGAAACCTAGGAATTGGCTCCGTAGAAATGTTTAGAGGTGCAGGGTGTGGCGATTCTCCCTCCCCGAGCCCCGTAGCTGTCTCCCCAGGACCACCAGGCTCCCAAGTCCGGCGCCAGCTGGTCCCTGGCTGTGGGAGACAGGAGCTGCAAAGGGAGGGGGCTCAGTCGGGGGAGCCGGTCTCGGGAGTGGACACCGGGGCCTTCCTCCAGCACGGGCGCACAGGCCCTTCCTTGTTGCTTCCTGTCTGGGTGGGGTGTCCGCCGTGCCCCGCAGTGCGGGCCTCCTGGCGCATGCACCCCGTCAGGTCCTGGTGCTGGGACCCCCACACCCCCCGCAGCCCATCCCTGTCAGGACCCCTCGCAGACGCAGGTTCCATCAGCCATTTTCAGCTCTGGGCTTGCTCTGCCCTCCCGCTTGACTCCAGCTCAGACAGTGGCGCAGCTCGGGGCGACAGTCCTACGCGTTTGCAAGACGCGAAGGGTTTTCATGACCCGCTCGTTACCCCTTTGTCTGTGACAGTGCTGGCGATTACATCGTCAACCTGTGCACATCAGTACACGCTGATTAGCTACATCATCACATGCTAGAGTATCACAGAGCAGGTGGCTGGCCGGGTGCCGTTTTACCTGCAACAACGTAGAGCATCCAACCCCTTTGACTTAGAGCCGTGGAGTGCGACATCCGCATCCAGCTCCCCGTGGTGTCCAAGCAGCACTGCAAGATCGAGGTCCGCGGGCAGGAGGTGAGTGGGCCCCAAGAATGTTTTTGTCTTTGACGATTTCTGTCTTTCTGTTAGTTACCCACATCCCCCTCTTCCTGCTTGCAGGTAATGTTGATTAACTTCAGCTCCACAAACCCGACGCAAGTGAACGGGTCTGCTGTGGACGGTGTCGTGCCGCTGACTCACGGTGACGTGATAACCGTTGTCGATCGATCTTTCAGGTAGGTGGGAGCGGGTGCCCACGGGCCTGCGTCGGCCGTCGCTGCCGAGCCCCCCACTGGTGGTGCCAGTGTCTAGGTGTCACGTCAGCTCTAGTTCTTACTCTGGCCTGGCCCGTGGGGGCCCATGTGACCCCAGGGTCTCCATGCCAGCAGCCGTGGGTAGGAGGCCCCCCTGCGGCTGCAAGCGCCCCTGGGGTGCTGCTGAAAGCGCTGGCGTTTGCTTGTTAGGCCCAACATACCCAGGGCCCGGGGTGGGGGGGCTCCAGGGCCCGGGCTCAGCCCCCCCCCCCTCCCCCCCGCAGTGAGTCCCTGTGACCATCAGACTGAGCCGAGCTCCTCCGGTGCCCCAGGGGGCCAGCCAAGGCCCCCCAGGGTGTGGCTGCCGATGGAGCCGTGAGGCGGGGCCGGCCTAATCCAGTGTGACTGGCCTCGGCCCCAGGGAGCTGGGCTCAGAGGGACAGGGGCAGCCGGGAGGGCCCAGGCCAGTGGATGCACAGGCCCCACCCAGTGCAGCCGCCGCAGCGGTGGGAGGCTTGTGTCGCTCGGGGCTGCCAGGCGGTGTCCTGGGTGTGCTCGGCCGAAACCCAACCCAGGTCCTGCTGTGTCCCTCCGGCTTCCAGGGCCAGGCAGGTGAGCGGAGGTCACGCGTGGGGACCGTTTCCCCTCCATTTTGTTTTTTAGTTCTGTTGTGAATTCTATATTTGGAAATATAGGTGATGCCGCGGGGCATGAAGTCGGTGGGCTAGCCGTCCACTCTCGGATAAAGGTCACTGTTGACCCTGTGGAGAGCCGGCTACCTCAGTGTCCAGTGGCTGCGAGCTGCGAGTTTCCGACCGCGTGGCCCTCTGCTTGCCAGAGCCCGAGGTCCGCTTGTCTCGGGTGCAGCTGCCAATACATCCCGTTTCTAAGGGATCTGTTTGTGCGACACATCGACCCTTGGTCCCGAGCCCGCGTGCCTCGTCCCGGGCAGTCGTGTGTGTGCGTGTCCGTGTCCACTGCGCCAGCTCCCGCCCTGGCTGCGGCTCCCGGGCCCCCCCACCCTATTAATCGCATCCTGTTTGTGCGCCCGGCGGCCCTCTGTGGTGCCAGCCCCCAGCATGTCTTCACGCTGGCGACTCCCTTCGTGTTAAGGGCGTGTATTAGCACCCCGTCTAGGTGCCCCAGTGGGATGGGGCCCGCGGCGCTGCCCCTGAGCTCGCCGCTCAGGTTGAGGGGTGAGGACCAGGCGAGGAAGCGGCCTCGGCGGGGTGGCCTCGGGGCTCCCTGGCCGGGACAGACAGCGCGACCTGGTGCCGCAGCTCCCTGAGCGTCCCTGGATCCACCCGCCGGCGAGGAAGCTACGCCCCCTCAGAGCAGGGTGCCGGCCCCCACCCCGTGGCCAGCGCTCAGCAGGGGGCGGCCCTCGCCTGGCGGGTCGCCAAGCAGCAGAGCCGCGCGGCCCTGCGTTCTGAGGGGGCAGCTGGGGCAGTGGGGGGCACGGTGACGGGCCGGGCCCGCTGGGTGACCTCCCGGCCGCCCGACGCCCCCGAGCCTCTGCACACGCAGTAGGTTCACGCGTGACACGCGCCGGGGCCTTGCTGAGTCGTGCAGACTCGTGGGTGCTTAGAGGCGCGTTTGGGCCTTCAGCTCGAACAGTGGGGTTCCGAGGAGTCTTGAGGCACTCCCCTAAGTTTCTAGTGTGAAAGCATGCTGCACTGACTCCCCTCAAGGTGGCACCTCGGGCCGCCTGCAGGTCACGCTGCTCCTGGCTGCCGACTGGCCGGGGGCTTCCCGTGGCCCAGACCTCACGCTGCTGTGCTTCCCCCAGGTATGAAGACGAGAGCCGGCAGGACGGAAGCGGGCCGGCCGGCCTGCCGGGACAGCGGCAGGAGCAGGTGAGGGCATCGTCCCCCGGGGCGGGCCACTTCCGGTCAGCAGGGGACGTAGCTAAGACGTGAAGGCACATGGGAGCTTGGAGGGCCACTACTGAGAATCACAGTGCTGGCCGCTCAAGCCGACAGCCCTAAGCCAGTCTGAGCCTTCCGGCGCAGAGTCCGAGGGTCACTTAGTCCCCTCTCGCGACACCCCCGGTGTGTCGAGCTGAGGTTTGGGGGCTCTGCCACCTGGTAGCTCCCCTGCCCCCAGTCAGCACACTCCCGAGTGCGCAGGATGCCCTGAGACAGGGGAGAACGTTCCTGGGCGGCAGGTGACAGGGCCCTGCCGTCTGTCTGGACAGAAAGAACCACTTGGCCATTTGCGCAGCAGCACAGGGCCTGTCGCGTCTGGCAGGTCTCGCGGATCCTGAGCGCCTTCGCCTGTCCTGAGAGGGCCCTGGCCCCCACTGCGGGCTTGCCCGAAACCTTGTGAGCAGCTCTGAGCGCCCCACGGGGCTTTGGGGCCAGGCGTGCAGGCCCGCAGCCGGGAGCAGGGTGCTCACCACGGCGCCAAGCCGGGGCCGCGCCTCACGCGGGCTCGGCCCTGGGCCCGGTGTCTCCCAGCGGTCTGGCTTTTCAATCGAGGACGCGGTCGAGCCAGCCTGCACGCTCGCCGAGGCGGAGCCGCCTGGAGCGCCAGCGTCTGCTCTTAAGTGAGCCGAGACACAGCCCTGTGGGTGATGCCACACCCCAAGGTCTCGGGCATTTCCAGAAAGTCACGTGAGGACAGCTGGGCAAGACAACCCCCGTGTTAGCCGTTAGGCCCTGGGGGACAACACTAACCACGCCCTTGTTTGCCACAGGAGTCCACGCGGCAAGTCTCAGGATCTGGCTGTCCTGGCTCTGGTCAGTGGGGCGCTGGGTTGGCCGGGCGCTTGCAAGGGCCCTGTCCTGGCTCCGGTCAGTGGGGGGCCGGGTTGGCCGGGCACCTGCGAGGCCCTGTCCTGGCTCCGGTCAGTGGGGGGCTGGGTTGGCCGGGCACCTGCGAGGCCCGGTCCTGGCTCTGGTCAGTGGGGGGCTGGGTTGGCCGGCCGCCTGCGAGGCCCTGTCCTGGCTCCGGTCAGTGGGGCGCTGGCTTGGCCGGCCGCCTGCGAGGCCCTGTCCTGGCTCCGGTCAGTGGGGCGCTGGCTTGGCCGGCCGCCTGCGAGGCCCT